AACTATCTTTTTCATGTGCTGCAGCTTGCGGATCCCTTAATTAAATCATTACCCGGACCGATAAGCAATTATTCATAGTAGGTGAAATAATTCGATTATTATATGTAGCCCTTTATAAACCAAGAAAAATGTTGAACTATTTAATTTTAGGTTGCATTTTCCCATTCTTTGCTATTATCTTTGCTAAATATTAAAGCATTTTCAAAAACTGGAGATACTTTATGCCATGAAACAACTTTTTAGGCTCTTATGCTTTTTGTATATGCTGTAATGATCTTTTTGGTGAATGTTATCCAAAATGCTGCTCTTGGTTTCGAATGAAAAGTTTACTAAAAGAATTCGATGCTTCTATTTTACGACAAGATATTTCATTTTTTGATGAAGAAAATCATAGTGTAGGTTCTTTTACTAGTCATTTATCATTAGATCCAACTCATATTAGTGGTCTGGCTGGAAATATGTCACAAGTAATGTGTTATGGTAATTTCTTCTGTAACAGTAGCTCTTATAGTTTGTTGGAAGCTCGCTTTGGTCTGTTTATGTACTTTACCTATATTTGTTGGATCTGGTACACTACATATAAAATAAATGATTTCCAAAAAAATTAAGATAGCTTATGAATATTCTCGTAAATAGCTTGTGAAGATGCTGATAATATTCGAATAGTCGCTGCTCTTACTCTTGACAATTATTTCGGGAAACATACTGGACGAACCTCATGCGCCAAGGTTTTAAAATGTTTTCTTGGTCCTCATTCCCTTTACTTTTTCGCGAACTGTTCTAGTTTTTAGCAGCCGCTTTATCATTTTTGGTATGGTATTAAATTGTTATGGATAATGAATATTATCTTAAAAAATTGTTTACGGTTTATATGGGATCTGTAGCTGGAATACGCTTCTTTGCCTATGCTCCAGATATGGCCAAAGCAAAATTTGCATATGCTTCTATAATGTCATTATTAGAATGTGTTTCTAAAATTGATACACGGGTTCAAAATGATGAAAAGATTAAACCTATAAAAGGTAACCTTAAATCATTTCCATTATCCGACCAGACCTAACGTTTCGATTCTCCAAGGTTTAAATTTAGAGATCAAGCCTGGTCAATATGCGGCTTTAGTTAGTCCGTCAGAATGTGGTCAAAGCATAATAATAAATCTTACTGTTCATGTGACGAATGGTACAATTACAATTGATGAAATGAATATAGATAAAATAAATGCAAACAAACTTCGAGAGCACATTGATCATTGTATAATATGATTATAAAGAAAAATATTCTTTTGGGTTGTTTATCTGGACTAAATATTACTCAAAATGACCTATAAAAGCATATCGAGAAGCAAATATGCATGGATTTATTGTTGGGTTACCTAATGGTTATGATACACACGTTGGCGGAAAAGGAGTACAACTTCTGATTGTTGTATTAAGTATTGTTTCGCCGTTTTTTTTTTTTTTGAAGAGTTCTATATAATATTACAAGCTCATTTTATTCCAGGTGGTCAAAACAACAATTTCTATTGTCAGAGCGTTTATTCGAAACCCAAAATTTTTTATTACTCGATGAAGCAACATAAGCTTTAGATTCAGAATCAGAAAAGGTTGTACTGTACAAAAAGCTTTTGATGCAGCTGCCCACGGGAGAACAACCTTGGCGATTGCGCTTATTATCAACAATTCAACATGCTGATATTATATTTGTTATAAAAGATGGTAAAGTTAATGAACAAGGCACATATCAAGAATTATTAAAATTACAGGGGATTTATTATATGATACAAAGACAACAACTAGGAAAATCAAATTTATAAATTTTAGATGGTTAGATCAATTTTAGTTCTATTACCAAAATTATCTTTTCTACTTTATATTATATATATATTGTATTGTCACTGGAAGTCCACTGGAAGCAAAATTAATAGCATCACTGGAATTTTTACTATTGCAAAATCTCACTGGAAGGCCAGAATTCCCACCGGAAGCCAAAATTAACAAATTTAATATTATATGATCACTCTCTAACTCATGTATTTATAGTAAAAATCATGTGATAATATATACCTTTAAAATATTTAATGAATTATATAGAAATATTTTTAATAATGCAGTAATAAATAAATGATTACAGCAATTCACCAATTATATCAACTTGAATACGGCAAAAATTGTCTTTAATCTTTTCAGAATATCATTAATTTCAATTTCCTTTATAGACAAATATATTAATCAATTATTCAAGACACAGCGCACGTGTTTACTAAATACAATATTTAATATTATGAATTAACTATATTAAAATCCCAAATTTAATGAAACATTACTTTTGTAAAGATCTTTTATATTCTTTATAACTAAGTTGATTGCCATAAATGTCTAAATGTGTTAAGGTAGTGTTTTCGCGAAGAGTTTTTATTAATGTTTCAACATTTTTATATCCAAGTTGATTATGACTAAGATCCAAAGTTTTTAAAGTTATATTTTTACAAAAAGCTTCTGCCAATACTAAAAGGATGTTTTCGCAAAGGGCATCTGGTAGAGTATTAAAAAGTCTTAACTCAATTAAAGTGGTATTTTTGCAAATAGCATCTGATAATACTTTTGCTCCTTCAAAAGTAAGCCTATTATCACTAAGGTCTAAGCAAGTCAAACTTGCATTTTCACTAAGAACTTCTGATAATGCTTTTATTCCGTCAAAAGTAATTTGATTATCATTAAGATCTAAAGAGGTTAAATTAACATTTTTGTAAAGGGCTTCTGCCAATGCTTTTGTTCCCTCAGAGCCAAGTTGGTTTCTACAAAGATACAAGGTGGTCAGAGTAGTGTTTTCGCAAAGAGCTTCTGCTAGTATCTTGACTTCTTCAATTCCAAATTGGCCATAACTAAGATCTAGAGAAGTTAAGGTAATGTTTCTACAAAGTGCCTCTGCTATTACTTTTATTCCTTCAACACCAATATTATTCCTTCCTATATCCAAAGAAGTTAAACTTTTGTTTCTGTAAAGAGCCTCTATTATCGCTTTTATTCCTTCAAAACCAAGGTTGTTATTATTAATATTTAAGGCGGTTAGAGTAGTATTTCTGCAAAGAGCTTCCGCTAATGTTTTGCCTCCTTTAAAGCCAAGTTGATTATCATTAAGATTCAAGGAAGTTAGAGTTATATTTTTATAAAGAGCCTCTGCAAGTGCTTTTCCACCTTCAAAACCCAATTGATTATGATTAAGAACTAAAGAGGTTATTGTGGTATTTTTGTTAAGGATTTCTGCAAATAATTTCGCTTCCTCATCACCAAGATGATCAAAATAGAAATAAGATTACAATCACTAAGTGTTAATGAAGTTAAGCAAGTATTTTTACGAAGAAAATCTGCTAGTGCTTTTACTTCTTTAGAAGTGAGTTTGATATGAAAGAGATCTAAGGAAGTAATAGTGGTGCTTTCATAACTAAATAATAACTTCATTATTTTACTATTAAATTCTTTTTGACTATTAGTAGAGTCGTAATTATTAAAAAAATGTACCTCAATTTTTTCACTTTTTCGTAGTAACATTTTAAATAATGAATTTATAATCGTTTGAATTTCATTAATAGATTCTTCATATTTTTTTTCTATATTCTCTAAAGTTACGGGGCTCATGATTTTCACAGCAAAGCCAGTTTATGATTCCTTTTTTTAAATCATTGTAACTGATTGATATAATATAAGAAGCGTATTCAAATAATGGTTTTGGACCATTTGGAAGTGATATATTTAATGAAATTAATGGAGCCTTTTCCTCAGCGTTCAACGATAAAAGGTAAATTCTTATCACTACAATAAAATGATGGTCGTCTCCATAGTATCGGAACAGAATTTCTACACCATTGACGGTTTACAAGAAGACATGAAAATAGGAATCCGTCATCTCTACTACTATAATTTGTCAAGTTATTAAATATTTCAGAAAGGCATTCGTTTGGTAATGCTATCATTTTGAAAAGCTTAAAAAAAAAAATTACGTACTGTTAAGCGGTTTAAGTAGTGATGGAACTACTGCGTAGGCTGCGCATACCTGCAGACTGTACAACCTGTAAGCATTATTTATTATAATATATTACTGAATTATTTATCGTCATCGTTAATCGGAAATTTTCTAGTACAACATTGGCCTGTATTTAATTAATATAAAAAGTAAACTTACTACGTGTGTGCGTACGTATTTACTGGTAGCAGGTAGTAGTAACCTACAAATTCTTAATTTTGGACTTTTATGAGTAGAGATATATCGATATTGCTTAAACTATTTAAAGGTTTATGCCTCTTCAAATAAATTAAAAAGTGGTTATAGTTTTCAAAATAAATTTAAAAATAAAGTGAAAATTTATAAAGAAAACGTTTAACATTTGATAATATAGAGTTTTTTTAGATTACCTATTATTATTGCAGTATTTTTATATGCATTAATAATTTGATTTGCTCTTCTATTAATTATAAATGAATTTGTGTGGATTGACTTTTTAAAAACGATGTGACATGTAAAAATCATCTAATCTGTTTTGAATAGCATATTTTCTTAATTTTAAATAATACTGTTGGTTATCGTAAGATGAAAAAAAAATTTTTTTAAATGCCAGAATTAAATTTAATAGTATTTAAAAGCAGAGGTAAAGTCAAGAATAATTATTCGAGACGCTTAGTGTGTAGTATTAATGGCTGTCTTTTTTACAAATGTTACCATCATTTTTTATTTAATTATAAAAAAAAATCAGGGTTAATAAATTTTTAAAGTTCTAAATCATAAATTATTACAAAAAAAAAAAAAAAAAATCTATCTATAACATTAGAACCCAAATATTATTCTATAGCCCGTTAAATCTTTAAATATTCTACATTTCTCTATAAGAAATAATTACAAAAAACAATACACTGAACAACACATAAATTACTAAATTACATACTAATACATTCTCAAAAATTAAGAATATATATATATATAACCGCAGAGCTAACTCAATGCCAGATCTAATTAGCTCTAAATAAAGATTTTAACAAATCTCTGAATGTATCAAATTGATCACTAGCTTGTTTCGGTAATAAAAACGAAACGGTTTTTGTCTCTTGCTCTTTAACAGTAATATGTTTCGGTACCCTGGAATTTTTCATCATAAATCCTTTAGCACATTTTAATACAAACTCACCTCTGTTGAATAAATTTTTTACTTTATCAGGATCAGAAAAACAGTCAATGTTTGAAGGGAGCAAAAGAAATGGCAATGTTATATTTGTAATGTCGAATCTCTCTACAGTGCGTAGAACATTACGAAGGCCATTTATAGCTTCTGTACATTGTGTTACATTTGACTTTTCCATTGCTTTATATATTTATATATAAAGAAAGTGTATACAATATAAATAACTATCAATTTTAAAGTTTTCAAATATATATTATTTAAGGTAAACTTACATTCAAAATCAATAACTAGATGAAATATAACCTGAAACATAGGTAAATTAGAATGTCTTGTAATGAAGAAATCACCTGCGATAATTAATAATAAATAATTTGTGGTAAATACATGATATATTTAAAATTTTTTAAAAATAATATATTGACCTTCTTTTATAGATGACATCCCATGACCATCTGAAAAATCTTTTTCGATAGCTTCAAGTTGCGTTTCGACATCATCAAAATGAAATTCTGTTGACTCTTTACATCTTTCAAAGAATGCTATTTTTAATAGTGGTTAATAATGATTAATCTAATGTAATAGATTTCGATTTTTTTTTATAATTTTATAATCAAATAAACCGAACCTTTATTAGCCCCTTTCCCAAACTTATAACTTGGCCAATCTTGAGGTGTCAGGAGTAAAACAATTGCAGCCAAATCTTGTGAATATAAATTTGCTGCAGTCTGAGCTCTATGTGCCATTTCTTTTAATGGGTCATTTGAGGATTTTAGCAAATTATCCACATCAGATACTAATAGCCTAATATTATGTGTTGATTTCACTTGATTTCCCAAAGAACTCGTAAAAGATTCACTAAGTTGAGAGTTATCTCCATTCATCATTGGAACACTGCAATACAAGAAACAGTTACTAGCCAAAGACAACAATTAACAATAAGAATATTATCAATTAACTTAAACATACCCATTAGTATCATCTTTTCTTCCAAGCCATCCGCTAAATCTTCTTGTTGGTGTACTTGGAGTATTCAACATGTTTTTTTGTTGAAAAAATGTCATAGGAGACCATGTATTCTTTTTTTCTTGTTTTGTTAGTATAGGTAAAGGACGACGTTTTTTCTCACGCCGAAGTGAAAGAGAACCAGATTGTTCTTTGTGATCAGAAGAAGAAGAATTACTGCTTGGTGTTGAAGGACGTCGAGGTATTATGGGCATCCCATTGATCCCATTGGCAATTTGTGCATCAATCTTATCCAGTTGTTCTATAAGATAATTGACTGCGCGTTCCTAATAACAATAATTAACATTAGAACTTTTTAAAAATTAAAAATTTATTAATTATTTTATTACCTTATTACCACCGGCCATATCAAGAGCTACTCTTGCTTGTTTATCACTCCACCCCATTTCTGTAAGATCACTTATCATTTTCATCGTCGTAGGATCCTCTTCCTATTTAAAAGAATAATGAGAAAAGTATCATCATTCATAAAATTAAATAAAATAAATAAATAAACATATACTTTTGCAGGTCTTTTATCGTCACTTGACGTAGGAAACAATGGAGATGAAGGTGTCATAGTTGGAGAAAGCATCACATCTGTCAATGAACTAATACTACCATGTCGACTCCGTGGTCTACTTCCTTGATCAAGTTTTAGAATTTCATTTGATAGATGTTTGTAATGCTTTTTCATATCCGTGATAACTTCAGAAACAATTTCCTTTCCATCAACTCGATACATCCAATTAGAATCCATAGTTGATTGTTCAATTATCCAACGCTGGTGGGCATTATAAAGTTTGATAACAAATTCGCAATATTCTTGTTTTTGAAATTTTTTTACTTCATCGAGTCCGTTTGCCAGAGTGGCTTGGCTATATTCAATATCCTAAGTAAAAATGTTAAAAATTTATAAAAATATTTACTATTGAACTTATATACATACAAGCATTACCAAATAAAAAATTAAACATTACTTCAGTTTTTCTTTCAAACATATATGTGAACTCATTTTGAAGGGATCCCATACCAGTATGTTCCAATTCTTTTTGATATCTTACATTTAATAAAAAATAACCAATTGAATAAAGCTAAAAATTAGAAAATTTATAATTTAATAATTTTCTACATGACAAATGAAAATACTAAAATACCTCTCACGCATGCATCCCATTTCTATTTTATGAGAGGTAATAAAATTCTTAACAGCATTATTATAACTTTGTTCCAATTGTAAAAGAGTATCAAAAATTGACGGTACAGGAGAATGAACAAGAGTGTTATAAGCTTTAGGGAAAATATCCTAAAGATTAATAATGAAATTGGTGAGAGATACAAATTGAATGGGTCAAATAATAAATAAAAAATGATTATTACTTCGGTTGGGGTATCATTATATTGTACTGTATGTTTTTTATATTTTGCCACGATCGCTTCTCGAACCTTGTCAGCATTCATCTCATCAACTAATTATCAGAATTAAGATGAATTCAAAGCTCATTAACAACTTAAATTTATAATATTCAGCTATCGAATTGATATACTTTTAGAAGCCTTTTCTATATCTCTTCTCCAACTTTCTTCGATCAAAGTTTCGACAATCGAAAGAACGGAATTTTCCAAATAACATGGTATATTATTATTATTCATAAAGCGTCTAACAGCATCAAGTAATAAACGATCTTTTTTCACATGAATTGTTAACTTAATTAAAGCATTACTCGGAGGAAGCGCAAAATGAAGGTTAATGGAAAGGTCTTTAAGAATTTTTGTTACTTTCATTTTTAAAATTAATCGACAGTGAAGTGAGTTTAAGTTAAAAAGTAGCTGATAAATACTAATGTCTAAAATTAGTGAAGTATTTATAGATTTATGCAGTGTTCTCGATGTAGTGTGACTCCTAAATAAACCATGTGGTCATGTATAATTGATAACCTTATTTCAGTATTTAGGGTACTTGAGAATGGGCGAAATTATAAAAATTAACATTTTAATTTTACGTTAATTTTTTTTTTTAAATTTATATTTGAAAATACGCTGTCCTTCCTAATTTAATTCGAATATCAAATGTTTGACGCTACCTATACAATAATTATTAATATGATTATGCATTATGACGATTAACGAAGAAAAAAATATATATCGATATGGTAATTATTCTAGCCATTAACAAAAAAACTTCATGCGACAGACCAATGTAGATCTTTACCAATCGCATTCTAGTCTATTTTTCCTGTATTTAACGTAGTAATGATCTTAGCTTTGGAATCATTAAATACGCGTACATATATACTTTATTGTACTAGAGTTATTTACAGTAGCACATGTCTTAATAACAATTAACACGTAAAATCAAAAAACATATGTATAAAATAAATTGAGTATATTTTTAATGTTTAGGTATATACCAACTACAGTACTAAAAACTTTATTTAGTTTATCTTGCAAACCAAACTAAATTATGTTTTATAGAATGTAATATTTGGCAAATTAAAGTTAAAAGGGATCTTCTTTAGTATAGCTGGGCAATATAGAAATATTATAAAATTATAATATAAAAAAACTCTAACCCTAACTATAAACTTTACTATAACCCTTAACTAACCCTAATTAATCTCAAATTTGCTTAAATTAGTTCAAATACTATGTTTATATATTATAATCTTATAATAACTCTATATTGCCCAGTTATACTAAAGATCAACCAT